CAGGGAAGGTTTGAGTCACATTACTTTCTCTTTGTATTGCAGGGAACTGGGCTGCGAGCCATTTCAAGTATGTGCTAGCAGATTTAGTGCAACGAAAAGGAAACGCCTGTTCTGGTCTAATATACCTGTCATTTATGATAGCTTGGAGCCTCAGGGGAGGAAGATATCACTCCAAGAATATTTAGGCCTTGTTCGCGTAGCTCAGGTACCTCTTGCCAAAACCATAACCACAAATAGGGCTGGGCAGAAGAGCTCATCAGGGAAGTTGCCCGTTACCTACGAGGGAAAAGAAGAATATCTATTCGCTCGAGACATTGAACTTCTACTTGGATTCCCTGCTGGATACACAGATTACGGAGGAATGTCTAATTCTACTCGCACTGCATTACTGGGCAGGAGCTGGTCAGTTGATGTTGTCATGGCAATTCTCTCGCCACTGAAGGACTTTTTCAGGAGAGAGCATCAAGGCCGGGGTTTACAGTTATAGTTATAGAAAATTTGTGGAATTAATTTCTGACAATCACTGGACTTGAAGGGAATGTACTTCACCATGAGTCACTTCATAGCTGACTGGCTCTGGGAGTGAACTGCTCATGATTAATAGTGTTTCAGTGACAGAATTAACTTCATCCGAATGTTATGGTTGAAGCCTGATTGTCCTTGTAAATAAACCAATAAAATGTGGCAGATCACGTCCATGGAGTAGTATTAGTTAATATGTGATGCTCTCTGCATTGATACTGTTTATAGTCGTAGTTATAATTAAAGAAAAACTGTGGCAATAATTTCTGACATTAACTGGACTTGGAGGGAATTAACTTGTACTGAAAGTGGAAGTACTTTCTATATTTTTATTTACCAAATCATACATAAACTGTATCCAGACCGATTGTATATTATATCTTTTTCTACTAATAAAATGTGGAAAACCATGTCCATGGAGTAGTATTACTTAAAAATCGATTCTCTCTGCATTGTCACTGTGTACAGTCATAGCTACAGTGATACAAAAGTTGTGGAATTAATTTCTGACATTAACTGGACTTGAAGGGAATGAACTTCAAGACATATACATTCATAGTTTTCCTTGTCTTGGTTGTTCCTACTGGAGTTATTCTTCTCACTTAACATGCTTACACACTAACAAATTCAGAGCGGTACTCTGCACAAAATGCCTGCTCTGCAGTGCATAAATAACCAGCATTTGTATGGATCTTTCTGGAAAATAACATTGGATACTGGCCGTGCTTACACACTAACAAATTCGGAGCGGTACGCTTCATAAAATGCCTGCACTGCAGTGCATAAAGAACCAGCATTTGTACGGATCTTTGTGGAACATAACATTGGATACTGACCGTGCGTTCCCCAGCCTTATATGCAGGCACACGAAAGCCGTTTTTCCGACGTCTGCATCGGCATAATCAGACCTCACAGCCGGAAAAAATCCTACCCAACGGGTGGACTTTTGGCGAGGCTTCGTCGTCGGAATTTATCCGACCCCCCTGTCCCCGGAAAAAATCCAAAGAGGGAGGGTCTACTAGTTGACAGAACGCTAGGGTCGGATTTTTCCTACCCTCCGAATAACAGTGTAGGGATTCCGATCAAAAATTAAGGAAAATAAGAAAGTCAACATTGTGCTGGCTGCTGTCCACAGAAGGCACAAAACTTAGCAGCGACAGGCTGCTGAGAGTAAAATGCAACGTAAATAATCAAAAATCCATGTTTAACCATTGTAAAAATGTTCAAGTTCTGGTAGAGGATACAATTAGCCGGGGCGCGTGGTGTGCGTTTCAGGACATAGTTGAGCATGACGCAGTATCCAAAGGACAAGTTGTCGAGTTCTCTTATTTAACGGGAACCGCCGCTCAAAGAAGATATACCCTTGCGTTTGCCCCCACGCAACCGCCACCAAATGCTGATAAAGGGTT